CACAATTCTCTGACGAAAACTACTCTCTTGTTTTGGTATACCATTTTTCCAGGAGGCTATAAATTCAATAATTACGCTTAATTTTGGATAAATAATGACAACGATAATTATTATATAACAAAAAGTAGCGAATAAACAGCTCTGAGTTTGATATATTATGTATAACTCTCTTATTATTTCATTTAAAATTTTGTATTTTTATTTGTGTTGAAACTGACAACTCATTGGGACAAAAAATTTTCAGATCATCAAAATAATATTATATTCATTAAATCAGTCAAACATAATAAAAAAAATTTAGAGATAATTATGAAAAACATAATTAACATAATAATTTGCACGCAAATTGTTTCTATTCATAAAATCAGATATTAATATCGTTGTTGATTTTTAAAATAAACCAAAAGTTAGTTAATAACTTTTATACTATCAAAATAGGCTAATTGAGATAAATTTAAAAAATATAATATTATATATGATAGAAATAGATAATAACAAGGAGAGCTGCAATCAAGGATAATGTTTTCAAATAAAGGTTTATAATAAATTATAATATTTTATATATCTAAAGGCAATATTTAATATTTAGACGGTGGCAAAGTTATTATTACTTATCTATATCATATTTTTAAAATATTGATCCCCCCAAAACTTGACACCAGGACATACATATACATGTTTGATTAAATATATAATATTTTATTTCTATAAGAATTTGAATAAAAAGGAAGTTTAATGTTTTAGTTTTTATATAAAAAAGGAAAAAAAATATTTGAAAATTTATAAAAAATCTATTATGAATATAGCATGCAATGCATAATTAAAAAAAAATATACCGGAAGCATCCTATTGAGAAAGACTATGAATACTTAAAATTGTAATAATAAAATAATAAGTCAACCCATTAAATAATACAACTAGATAAAAAAGAAAGGTGGTTACCAGGCGCGTACGCAGGAATTTGTTTTGGGGGGGGGGGGGGGATAATAAAATTTTTTAAGAAATATTATTGTTTTTTAAAAATATCAAGCATAAATTTATCAGGACTAATAACTATTTCTAATACACAATTTTAAATTAATGTGAATTATAAAAAAATTATATGTAAAGAATCACTTAAATGACCCAAAATAAACATTTGAATTTTTTGAGCTTTAAAATTTATATATAAAGTATAAAAAATTTAAATGTTAGAAATATAAATTAATACACAAAAAGCTTAGGGAATAATTGTATTTTGTATGTTATATATTTACAATGTAAAATCCAATCTTCGTTGGGATTGAGCTAATTTTTCAATTATCTCATCCTTGCTTGTTGTCAAATGCCTATGAATATTCAAAAGATCCAAACCTTTCAATCTACTTTCAAAAGTTTTACTTCTTGGTATGTTTTTCAGAGACCTGCAGGCTTGGCCCCCGGGATGGACGCTGAGCCTGAATTTTAAAAAAAAAACATCTAGGCCGGGCCTGAAATTTTTTTTAAAAAAAATATCCGAGCCGGACTGTATATTTTAAAACAGCCTATATTTGAAATCGTTATTATTAGCTATAAAAATCAAAAATAAATATAATTTATTTTTTAAAAATCCGGGTCGGGCCTGAAAATTTTATTCTAAAAAAGGCCGGGCCGGGCCTGAAAATTGAGCTTAGCCTTAAAAATCTTTAAAAAAATCCGGGTCATGCCCTGCAAATGGTACCTCTGCAGGGCTCTGTTATTCTTCTTAAAAAAGAGAATGTTCTCTCATTAGTTTACTATTGGAAAGAGTTGCTAATATATATATAAACCCTTCTAATACATTGGGAATATAATCTAAAATGTGTTTGAAATAATGCAGAGCATCCATATCATTTTTTGGGACTGTATCAACCATAGTTAATCTCATAAACATAGTTATTCAGCTAATAATGCATCATAAGATACTTTAACATCTTCATGATAAAAATCTAACAATTTTTTTTTCTATCACCATCTGAAAAAGGTTGGGAAGGCTTTTATGGAAATAATCCAGATTGGTAAGTGCTGCATAATGAATTAAAAACCATTCATTTATTTGGTTTATAAATGTATTTGTATCTAAGATATATACTCTTCTACTGATCCTATATTAATGTTTTAACTATGAGCTTGCCTAGCTGCAAGTCGAGTGAGACAAATATTAAACACGTATAGCTCTGCTTTTGACTTAACAATAACATATAAAATATATAAACATTAGCCCTATAAAATATATAAACATTAGCCCTAATTTCCTTGAATTCTAATAAAATGCTCTTCGCTATTCTCATCTTCTTAATCAAGTCATCATGTTTTTGAAAAGTAATACATAAAATAGTTGTACATTAATGAGAAAAAAAATTTGGAATAAGCATTGAATCCAATAATTTTCTTGCTTCTAAGGAAAAATTTCTTTCAGGCCATTGTGATATGTCAGTAATAGAAAATAATCGGCTCTTCTATTTCCATAAAAGCTGTTACTGCTTGATGGCGGAGACTCTATCTCGTAGGACAAGGTTACAATTTCTTTCTCCCTGTTGGACAATTTCAGAATAATTATTATTTGGCTAGAAATTTAAAAATAGTAGATAAATATTACGCCACTAAAAATTTGAAAATAATAAGATAATATTACGGCGGAAAACTTGAAATCGAAATTAATTGATAAACTTAGTGATGAATGTGATAATAAATGTAATTAAATATATATTTAATATCAGATAGGAATAAATATTAACAAATATAAATTAATATAGTACTGTGTAAATTTAATTCAAAACATTTCCATATTTATTAATTTATTTGAAAATAAAATTAACGAATTAAAAAATATGGAAATGTTTTAAATTAAATCTGCACAACACTCTAAACAAAAATATTCTTGAAAAATATATCCGGCATCTGCATTTTTTAGCTTGGGGGGGGGGGGGATTTGTCCCCCTGCCCCCCCCCGCGCTGCGTACGCCAATGGTGGTTACCATAATAGTAAATAATTCTGCTAAGATGATTTTATAAATAACTTAGATATATATATAGGGTAACTCGCTTATACATATCCATTGATAACTTTTTTTCTTTTTATGCACTTTGATTCAAGGAATTTTACAATTTGTAAAGATTTATAGTTCTAACCTTTTAATTTACAGGTACATCGAAGAGCTTTATATGTAGCACTTAACTATCACCAACAAAACTAAAAGATATAATTCTATTTTTTCTTATATAATTGGTTTATATTTTTCTACCGAAATAAAATGAAATCCCGGAAATCAACCTGACAGGATTGATAAATAAATCTATTGCATTTAGTTTCTAAAATCGATCTGTATTCAACCGGTAACTTTTAAAAAATAGAGTCATGTTACTGGTTGACCTTCACAAAAAAAGGAAGAAGTTATTTTGTTGTGACATTTGGCAATAGCAAGCTAGAGTTTTTATTAAAATTGCAGGGATGAGACCAACACGGAACCCTCGTATTTTTGCTGAACCCAAACCCGGACCTTTTTTAAAAGTGGAGGATTCAAGGGTTCTGATGTCAAAAAAAAATATATTTTTTAAAAATTTATAAAAAATAAATTAAAATTTTTTTTTGTGGAATCATTTTTCTTCTTCTTTGCATTTTTCTAAACTTTTTGGTTTTTATTCTACCATTTTAAGGTAATATTTTATAACAAATGATATTTTATGCTAATAATATAATACGTTGTTTATCATGTTTTGATTTACATCAATTTTGAAAAGAGATTTGTCCACCAATGTATATTGCATCAGGTGTACTGCGCATACTCTCCAGTTAATGATTCCTTGAAAAATAATCACGTTAAACCTATTATTGATAAAGCAAGGGATGTTATAAGATATTTGAGATAACAATTGTTAAAATATTAAAAATATTGAAAAGGCAACTGGCAATATTGGATTGCACAACACGTTGGCACTCAGTTTGTATGATGTTAGAACAATGCTTGAGTTTAAAAGACTTCTGCATAAATTTTATAAACACATGTAAAGTTGTATTATCTGAATATGATTGAATTCAAATAAAGGACCTTACTAGTATATCGGAACTTCTAGTAATTATAACACTAAGATTTCAATAAGAACAATTGTATTTATCTGATTTTTACGGTATATATGGGTTAAATGCCGATAAGATTTAAAAAAAAATTATTTAGTTCTTTCATATGAAATATAGGGAAGCATGTAAATTCGAGAGAAAAACTATTTACAAAGCAGTGTAGTATATACCCCAATATATTTAGACTCACATCAAGTTCTATTATTGAACAAAAACAGATGAAGACTATTTTGAAGAATTATAGCATAAGTAACACTTCATTCTTTACAACATATTGGAGGCTACTACCACATCTACTGGCTGTATTGATAATAATGATAATACCGCTAATGACTTTGAAGATTTACTTTTAGATAGATAAGAGAAAAAATTATCATCAGATAAAAAGGAGGAACGGCAAATTCCTATTATATCTTTAATCGATATGTTTTGACAAGGTGAGAAAATAGATGAGATGCAAATATTTTGAAATCTGGGAAGGAAAATCTTCAATATATCCATGTATCAGCGACACACTTACAATAATTTATAATGTCTTTGAAAGATAGTTTTAAGTCAGAGTAGAATGCATTTTCTTTTTTGAAATACATATTGTCACTGTCATATTTGCATGGAAATTTTAAATATTTTCGAAGATTTTATGATTGTGCAATTATATAAAACGTAAAACATAAATTATGAATTAATTTAATTTTTTACTTGTAAATTATGTATGGGTATTTTATATGGAGTATAAAAAATAAATTTAAAAAAAATAATGTTATTTTGAGTCAGTATTTCTTTATGTTCTCCAAACCCTGAACCCGAATACTTATTTAAAATTTTATTCCTGAACCTGAACCTGAACCCGCACCTCTTTGTTGAAATACAATTTCAATTTATCTATCGATAGATTATTGAACTATACTTGTTATTTTAAATACAGGAATTTGGGATTTTTAGGAAAAGATGTTTACAATATAGATTACAAAAATACGAATATGAATTTAACGACAGATCTAGATGCAGTTCAGAATCAAGAGTATCGACCATATGTATCGCACTTCCCTACAAATCATATAGCCCCTTTCTCCCAAAATCGTGAAATTTCGTTTAACGAAGATAAACAAACAAGACAATTTAATGAACAAACCAATTCAAATCCACACAATTCCGATATGAAATCTATATCCGCGTGGTGTCAATTACCTGGTCTTAGTAAAGGGCAGCAGAAATTATGTGTATTATATCATGATCATATGTATGGCGTTGGTAAAGGGGCTCAGTATGGAATTCATGAATGTCAATTTCAATTTCGTAATCAAAAATGGAATTGCAGCATTAGGATGAATGATGAAACTGTCTTTGGACCCATACTTAAAATACGTAATAAATAATCATATTATTTAGAATATTTTTTAAAATTTAAGCCTAAGAGAATGAATTACTTTAAGATTTGATTTACCGAATATTGTAAAAACTTTTTTAATATCCGATTTTTCTATAGTAAAAATCATTCCTAATATTTAATTCTTCATTTTTGATTTTCTGGAACCATAGTAAACCTCTAACTCATCTTTTTATACTTCATCTCAATTAGAAATTTAATTCTATGCCTTATTTTTTGCAGAAATAACCATGTTTGGCTATTTAAATTCTGACAATTTTTACCTCATTATTTTTTTCCTCGTCAATGTCTACCATCTCTGGCGGTTACTATATCGCTACTGTTTGATATTGTAGAGTTTTAATATTCCTGTGCTATTAATTTTATTTGTATTCAATTCAATATTATATATATAATTTTATTAATTTACTCGTTAGTTGTTTGGTCATCAAAGGCATGCTGGATTTTGTTTTTTGTCCAGTATTTTTTTGTTAACGGGTTTATTCATTATTATTTTTTTACTCCCAAGCTCATTATTTATAATTTTGTTCTCATATATAAAAAAAAGATAGGAAAAGAAACGAACTGTTAAATTATTAATAGGGAAATTACCAATGGTTAGTAATTCAGGCAGTGGTTACCTTAGTGGGGCTCAAGGGATCATCTTAAAAAATCTCTCCTCCTTTCTTAAACATTTCTTTTAGATTTCCTTGAAAATTTAGATAGAATTTTATTTCTTGTTAATTTTAAATGGAGTTATTTCCGCTCCACCAAAGTTGAATAAATTATACAAACTAAAGGAAAAATAATTGTTAAAATACTACATTTACAACAAAAAATAAACTATTAAATGATTATTTCCTTAATTACATAAGTATTGAATATGCATATTCTAGCGTCAATATATTTTTCCCGCGTTGCCCCAAAATCACGAAAATGTAAAATATGGAAAATGAAAAAAAATAATAATGTTGATAAAAAATTTCAGTTTTTGAGCAAAGATTGTAAATAAATAATTGAGTAGGGGCTCACTAGTTTTACAATCTCAGGTACCTTTTTTTATTTATTTAACATTATTCAAAATTACCTTTTTTTGCTAACATTTTTAAAATTATATTTGGTATAAAAAAAATTCAAAATTTTGAGGGGTCTATTCAATTTTTTAGGGGGCTCGAGCCCCTGCGCTTCCCCCTCCCCCCGTGACGTTACTGTAATTGAGCGTTTTAATTAATAAATCTATATAAATTTTGAATCACCATTAAATTTGCAGTTTAATGATATATGTCGATATATAATATTTGCTTTTTTTAAAAAAGGTTATTACCCCAAAATAAAAATAATTTAGAAAATATTAGGCCAAAATTGATATGTATTAAATTGTTGTTTTTGTTATTTTTTGTAAAATGTTTATTTTTATTATTATATAATTTGATATGAATAATAAATGATGATCATTATTTTGGATACTAAATAAAAAAATGAAAGAATTCTATGACTACTAAAAATACATTACAAAAGATTTCGATATTTTATTACTAATAAAAATACATTACAAAAATGGCGCAGTTTATAAAAAGTCTAACGGATTCAAACCTGTGTTACAAAGATTGGTACAACTTATTTCAAGAATTTAAAAACACACAACCAAGTTTAACATCATCACAAGAAAAATTTCTGTTATTAACAACAATAAGATGTGATACTTATAAAATATTGGTAAATTTATGCGCACCAGATGGTCCAGGAAATAAAGAGGTATAAGAAATACATAACATTTTACTCAAATTTTTTCATCCCAAACCTAATATAATAGTAGAGAGATATAATTTTTATCAATATAATCAACAAAATGATGAAAAACTAATAGACTATATACAAAATCTACGAATGACTTGTGATTTTGGGGAATATTTAAATACGGCATTAAGAGATAAATTTATATTTGGAATAAAAAATCAAAAAATTTTACAAAGATTACTATCCGAAGACGATATAGACATAAATAAAGCTATTCAGATAGCTACTGCAGTGGAAACAGCAATAAAAAATACAAAAGTAATACAAAATAATGATAATATAAATAAAATTAAAAAAGTTAATAATCATAATGATAAACAATCATAATCATATAATAATTATAATGCAAGCTAAAAAAACAAAATCCATGCCACTCCTGCGCGGAAACCACAGAAGGGAAAATTGTCTTTTCAAAAATGCCACTTGTTATAAATGCAACAAATTGGGCACATTGCTCGAGTCTGTAGAAAAGAAATAATGAATATATTAATAATAAAACAAACGAATATAATCCAGAATTTTGGGTGGATGTCAAAATAAACAACAGCGATATCATAAGGGAATTAGATACTGGAGCTGGGGTAAGCATAATTAACGAAATAGAATGGAAAAATAAACTTAATCGTCCTGAATTAACAAATTGCATGATAAAACTTAAAAGCTATACAGGAATCAATATACCACTATTAGGTCAGACTGTAGTAAAAGTACAATATAGTGGACGAACATTAGAACTACCTCTCATAATTACAAAATGATATATCAAAAATCTAATTGGAAGAAATTGTATAACTTTCCCAAAATGACTCCTGAAAGGACCATACAAATAAATAATATTAATATACAAAATGAATTTCCTCAATTATTTACCAAAGAATTAGGCTGCTTGAAAGATTTTAAGGCACAAATATATATGAAAAACGAGAAACCAATTTTCTGTAAATACGTCCCATACCATACGCATTAAAAGATAAAGTTGAAAAAGATTTAGATAGATTGCAAAAAATAGGAGTAATAGAGAAAATTAATCATTCACTTTCTGCTCACCCAGAGTAATTGTTCAAAAGAAAGATAAAACATAAAGAATTTTCGGGGATTTTAAAAGAACTAAAAATCAAAATATTAATATTGATTCATATCACAAGAATCCAAGATTTATTAGCCAATTTGGGAAAAGGAGAGGAATTTTTAATATTGGATCTCTCAGATGCCTATAAATTAAAGTGGGGGAAGAGTCTCACAAATATCTTGTAATCAATATGCATAGAAGATTATTTAAATATACAAGACTACCTTTTGGTATATCGTCTTCTCCAACAATATTTCAATGGGCCATCGAGAATTTATTAAAAGCTTTTGCTTGTTATTTAGATGATAATATAATAACCGGAAAAAATAGAAACACGAAATAAATATATAAACGGTACTAAAATGTCTAGACAAAAATGATCAAGCTAAAGATACAAAAATGTAAATTTTTTAAACAAAATGTGGAGTACTTAGAACACAATATATCCAAAAACAGGATTACAACTAGAGAAATAAATACCAGACAGTAAAAAAAACACCAGAACTAACAAACTTAAAACAATTACAGTCTAGGGTCAGCAATATACTATTCAAAATTTACTTCAAATTTTGCAGCCAAAGCCAAACCATTATACATATTATTAGAAAAAAGAGTTGTTTGGAGATGGACTAATGAATGCAAAGACGCGTATAAAAAAATAGAACAAAGTACTCCAATATTACAATATTATGATCCAAAATTACCCATTATATTAGCAAAAGATGTGTCAGCCATAGGAATTGGAGCATAATATCACATATAGAAGGGAGTAAGGAGAGTCCAATTGCATTCGCCTTAAGAACACTGCAGCCGAGAAAAATTATAGCCAAATAGAAAGAGAAGCTCTTGCCATCATATTTGGGGTTACAAAATTCAATGGATTTATATATGGGAAAAGGTTCACATTACAAACAGACCACAAGCCATTAATGAGTTTATTTTATCCAAGAAAAGATATACCAACCATCTATTGCCAGAATACAAAGATGGGCTTTATTATTAGCAGATTATCAATATGAAATAGAAGTCAAAAATAGTAGACAAATAGCAAATGCTGACATGCTATCTAGATTACCTATAATGGGAACTCCAATATCAAAAGAGAAACGCTAGATCAAATAGAGGTGAGAGAAACACCTTTAAATGCAAGATTGAAAGAGGAACAATGCGAGATGATATACTTTCTAAAGTATAAGATATAGGAGAAATGTGCCATGAATGACCATGTTTTTGCTTTTTTGAAAAAAGGTATTAAAATTTATGTTTAATCAAACAAATTTTATATCAATGTGTAGTCTAAATATTAATCTTTAAAATAAAATTTGAATTAAAGCTCTATGTATAATACTTTATGAGCTAAATGAGATTATGTGAAAGTAATTTTATGTATTGACTGGCCATATACTATGTGTTAACTGATCATAATATTTTATTTAAGAATTTTATTATAAATATGAAATAATACAATATGAAATACTTCTAAAAGACCTATGTTAATGTTTCTTCATTTTTTAGTTGTATAAAAAATTAATTAAACACTAATTTAATTAGTATTAAGATGTCAATTTATTACCACATCTATTTAATGATATATTATAAATTAATATCTTAATTATCATTTTACTAAACATTCTTAAGCTTGTTCATCATTTTATTTTACCAAATGTTGTTTTGCAAGAGCTTTTCATTTTAATATGAATATGTGAATGTGCTAATTGTGGCCAATCAATACATGGCCAGTCAATACTCACCTCTCTATTATTATTAAGCGCCTTTATATGTCTATTAAATAAAGGTTTTAAAATCTAGTTTTTTGTGTGAATAATGCTAAATGCCTAAGGATAATATTTATATAAAATATCAGTAGTCTAAATTAGCAATTTTTTCACCAAACAAAAAAAATGTGCAACGTGTTTTTCCCAGAAAGAGGTACTAAAAACAGTTTTTTTAAAATATTTTTTTATTGAATTGCTCTATTCAATAAATGAACTTAGGTAAAGTACACATCATAAATATACAAATTTTGACCAATTTTGAGAGAAATTGGTCTAATAGATAAAAAGTTAAAGGGTGGTGGCCAGTCTTCACACATGGCCATTAATGGCACATTTCCCCTACAATAGATGGATGGCCAATAAACTATGATGCATGTTTAAAGGAGTATAGCCAAAGGAGAGAGGAAATTACAAGAGAGAGAGGTTGTTTATTATGGAGAACGAAAATGATAATACCACAATAATACCGAAACAACGTGTTGGACATGATACATCAAGGACATATTGGAATGGTAAAAATGAAGATGAGAGCACGACAATACGCGTGGTGGCCTAATATAAACCAAGATATAGAAACATGGGTCGAAAAATGTAGAGAATTCTAGGAACAACACGATATGCCTCGAAAGAGAGCAATTCAAAATTGTCCAAAACTACCAAAAGCATGATTTTTGTGAAAAAAATGGGATTCAATTAGTGCACGGAAGTCCTTACCATCCTCATACAAACGGCATGGCCAAACGTTTAGTTCGAACTTTTAAACAGAGTATGAATAAAAGAAACGAGAGAGATTTAGAAACCAGTCTAGCTATTTTTCTCTACAATTACAGAATATCAGGGACAGAAACTGAACAAAGTCCCCTGAAATACTATTAAAATTTAAACCTAGAGGATTGTTAGATCAAATATTTGAACGGGGGAACAAAAAGGAGAAGTTGGAATACCACAATCAAGAATTCCAGATAAATGAAAAAGTTTGGTCGCGCCTTTACAATAATAAAGAAAAAAACTGGGAAGAAGCCATTATTAAAGGCATACTCGGATCACAACGTTATGAAGTAAGAATAGCGGGTAATACGATTATACGTCATACGGATCAATTAAAGAAAAGAACCAAAAATATATTAACTGAAGAATACGAATTAGAAGAGAGAAATGAAGTAGAAGAGAAAACCGAAGAGATAGTAAACAACAGTGTTGTTAAACGCTACTTTTAAAAGTAGCGCGCTATCGCTACCTCTATTTTATAAAAAAGTAGCGCGCTATCGCTACCGCTATCGTTTTCAAATGAGTAGCGCGCTATTAGCTACTTTTTACGCTACTTTGATTTTTTTTTTAATATTTTTTTTACGTAACTTTATTTCCACAAATAAAATATTGATTAAAAACATGACTATAATTTGTTACATATATATATATATATAATTTATTTATTATTGCACTTGAGTATAAACGACCAATTCAAATCATAAAACTAATGATCCAATATATAATTCATTTCCATTTTTTTCTCATCTAGAAACAATGCTAAAAGTTTTATAGCATTGTAATCGCTATTCCATCTTGTAGTGTTTGGTGTCAATAAATAACTTCCTAATTTTTTTTTGAAAATATCAGATGTCTTTGATGACTTATTTTGTTTATTCCAAAGAGCTTGGCATTTAGAAAATGTAGATCTTGATACTCTTTTAAAATCCTCATTAAATAATGCTTCTTCAGCATCCACTGTCGCAACTAAATTTAGGTTGTGGCAGGAACAACGATGATGGCTAGGTAACATAGAAGACTTTATTGAAGATTCTTAATATTATAAATTTTATTTTATATTGGTGAAAAATTAAATATAAAATAATTTAAAACCAAGGATGTCATGAACATCAATTATCTCAAACTCCATTTCATCATCCTCTTCTTGTTCTCCATCTTCAATATTTTTGTCAGGAATATTACTAGTATTGTTATTATTATTATCTTCCCCAAATATTCTATATTATTTATATCATATTATAAAAAAATTATAATTAATTTAAAACCTGAAGGCCTTCAGGAAATTAGACCCATTATCCGTAATCATCTTACAAACCTTGTTTTGAATTTTGTAAGACCTGTGGATTTCTGCAATTATATTGGCTAGAATGTCATAAGTCTGACAGCCAATTATTCTCTTTAGAGCTAACGCTACAGATTTTCGTTTAAGATTTTTAGAATCAATCCAATGTGCAGTTACTCCTAAATAAGCTCTAAAAATATGACATATTATAAATCAGAAAAAAACATTTTTACCTTCTATTGTGAGTCCAGCAATCTGCCGTACAGACGTAGGAGACATCTGATAGATTTAATATCAAAGATTCTTTCATTTCCTTAAAGCTCTCCAAAATTCTTGCCATCAATGTCTGCCGGCAAAATATCTTGGTCCGTGGAGAAAAAGTGTTTATCATCTTTATAAAAGAATCATTATCCACCAAGGATAATGGTTGAACTGTATCTATTATAAAGTTCATAATGACTTTGTCAGCCAATTTTTGGGATACACCAGGTGTTGATGAATCCAAATTGGTTAATTTTGTTTGTATTAAATTTGATTTGGAAGTGGGTTTATCTTCTTCATTATCCCAAAACTTTTGAGTATTTTTCAATCTCTTTATAATTTGAAGTGTGCACAGTCTAAAATTATAAAATACTTAGAATAAAAATTATGTAGGAGATAAGTATACATAAAAATGAATAACTATTTTAAAATGTTTTAAATAATTTAGATAAAATTTATGAATATATAAAAAAAATGATTGGTTTTTGATTTTAATTTATTTTAAAAATTAAAGATTAGCCTACACATTGATATTAAATTTGTTTAATATATTACCTTTAAATGTTTTTTCAAATTAAAGCTGCTCGTATGATTTGAAGAGATAATTTTGCCACATCTTGCACCGAAACCGATATCCAGTATTAATTTTTTCTTCAAGGTTAAAGTATTTCTTGAATTTTGGGAAAGGATCATCTATATTTTGCTCATTTTCCAAAGAAATTTCAATATCTTCAACAATCTCACACATAACAAGATTTATAATGCTTAATATAAAATGTAAAATGAAATATAAAATAAGATAAAAGCAAGGACATACCAATAACGGAATTTCAAAGATATATAATTTAATGAATGCGCGAAATATAAATTAAATACAGATTGCTATTTAACAACTGTTTATATCTAATATATAACAATAATGTATATTTTTAAATATAAATTTCAAAATTAAATTAAATAAAAGGATTATAATTTTAGATTTTATAAAAAATATATTTTAATAATTTTTAGATGTATTTATTATGTAAAATTGAAACTACTTTCTAAATTAGTAGCGAGCTACCGCTATCGCTATTTTTTTAAAAAAGTAGCGCGCTATAGCTACCGCTACTGAAAAAAGTAGCGCGCTAAGCGCGCTATTTTAACAACACTGGTAAACAAAGAGATAGTAAACAAAGAGGATGTAATAAAAAATAACGATGAAATGAATCTAAAGGAGAGGGAGGAAGAAGATACAAGTCAAGATCGATATCCCAAAAGGATACGATCAAAACCAGATAGATTGGGTATAAATGATATGTATTAAATTGTGGTTTTTGTTATTTTTTGTAAAATGTTTATTTTTATTATTATATAATTTGATATGAATTTGAATAATAAATGACGATCATTATTTTAGATATAAAAAAATGAAAGAATTGACTACTAAAAATACATCACAAAGGATTTCGATATTTTAATACTACTAAAAATATATTACAAAATTCACCTAAAATAGATTTTCAAAAAATTTGTGATATTTACTTATTATGATAAAAAGTTATAGGCGTTCCTTTTTTTTTATCCCGGAGGTATTACCATTTAAAATATAGAAATGTGGAGAGTAAAATGAAAAATTTATTTTATACAGAAACCTAACTCGCCCTAAAACTTTAATAATAAGCTCGGTTTTTTTATTTTTACCTTGTAGTTTAATAATGAGGCTATTCAACAATAAAATTATTTTAATTCATATACAAAAACAAATTGCAAAAACGTAAAAGAGCCATTCCGCCCCTATCCCCCTTATTTATCTTATAGAATCAATATAAGTTTTAAAATTTAATTATTCTCTGAGCGCATTTTTTTAAAATATGATTATACCGGAAATATATTACAGCAGAAACCTGCTTTCTAATTTTTAGTAAATTTTACCATTAACTTTTGTATATAATTTTTTATATAAATTTTTCTTTTTCATATAAATTGTAAGACTCAAAAGTTAACGGTAAAATTATCTGAAATTCATAGGGTAGATAGTCCTGAAAGAAACTATCGGCAACATCAGATTTTAAAATTTAAGAGAAAGTAGTCAAAAAATGATTTAAAGTTGAAAAAATTACATATTGACGGAAAAACACATATTGACACCAACATATGCAATTTATATTTTATAATAAATATATAAATTAAGCAAGTCGCGAAACTGCATTTGCCCATGCTATCAACTCAGCCGGTGTTGTACACGCTATCAGTAGATTTTGTAGGCAAGGAATATTATCTAGTTGTAGTTGTGGAAAAATAAAAAGACCAGGAAATTTGAAAACTGATTGGAAATGGGCTGGATGTGGAGATAATCTCAAATATGGATATAAATTTGCTACAGAGTTTGTAGATATTAGAGAAAGGGAAAAGTTTTTTCACTCCAAAGTCCGCAATGATTTAAATAAAGCATATGAGAATCATGTTGATAATGATGATCAAAAAAGGCCTAACTCTTTATACTCAGTAAAAATTAATAACAACCAGTTTATTAATAACAGCCGTTATCACTTAAAGGAGATTCAACCGCTAAAAAAAGATTTTGGACAAAGGAAACGAAATAAATATGCAAAGTCGTTGATGAATTTGCATAATAATGAAGCAGGAAGAAGGGTAAAAAAAATATTTTTTTCTTAACTTATTTTTAATAACACTAAAAATCATTATATGATTTTTAAAAAAATATTTCATTAAGTTCTATATAATGGAATTATTATTAATTTAATTGATCGTTAATATTATTTCATCTTTTTAATTCTCGAAAAATAACAAACGGTTGAACATAAACGTTTATTAGCACATTTTTATAAAAATTTATTAATGTATAGAGGGTAATTAATTCATTATTTTCCTTTTATTCTATTTGCGAGATTACTTTATTGAAGTGTCATTTTAATTATATCTTATCTTGATCTCCTATTGTAAAGAACTAGCTTTTGAATAATTTATCTATAGGTATATTTCTTTTGCTTAGCGATTATGCATAAAAAGATACAATAATTGATTTTAAAATCTTTTTCCATCAAACAAAGATGTTATCTTTATTAGTAAGATAATTTTATGAGAATATAGAAAGGGGCCGAATATAATGAATCCAATGCAATGTATACAAAAAATTCTTTTTATTCATTTTTACTTTTTTGGAAGAGAAAGGAGATAAATTATCTTATATATATATATACTAAATATTTGTCCCCCTCCCTCCCACAATTCTTAATGAATTAAATCACAGTGCTCTAAAAATTACATACATCGTTACTTTATGCTACGAAAAAAGAAATGCCATTACCTTACTCGTTAAATTGCATTCAAAATATTATAATCCAATAAACAGAAAAGGTTGCATATTTAACATCACCTATAAAGATGCGTTCAATGTGCTGATGAGTATATTTAATTAAATAGACTTTTAAAATTGTGGTAATTTTCGTTAAAAATATTAAAGAATTGTTTTTACTATCTAAACAGTTAAATTACCATAAAATTTGTATTTTATATATTTTTTTAATTTAGTTAAAGTTTATTTTTTAATTGGTTATAATAAGTATGAATTAAAATAAAATTTAAATTAATTTATAAGATATTTATTAGTCTTTTGATTTAATCTGAAAACTCGACTAAAATATATAACAAAATAATTCATAAATTTATTTTGGATAATAGCTCAAATCAAGGAAGGTTTTTGTTTATTGGAAACCTGTCAAATATAAACAGACCAATAGAAATAATAAATTAACAGTAGCAGCGGTAATTTTCTTCAATATTTATATCATGATTTACTTCTTCCATATTTTAAAAGGTAACGAGAAAGAAATCGTTAGCGTTACCTGATGCTTGATTTTATATTATATTAAGTGGCCACTAGCCTTTGCCATCTCAGGGGGCTCAATTAAATAATTTTTATAAGGGCTTCCCTCCCAATGACACATTTTGCAGGCCTTCAACCAGTTTTCCCTAGCCTTCGGCCAAATTTTTTTTAAAAATTATATATTTCTTTTACATTTTTTTTTCCCTTTTCTCTTTAGCTTTTACCTTTTCTGGTGGTAAGCTCCTTCAATATCTCTCCCCACTTTATGTTATTCATACTATCTCTTTTATCTAATCTATACTTTTTCATATTGACTCTAACTTTATGGCCCCATTAAAGTTTTGGCCTTCCTCTTTTAGTTTGGCCATCACTTCCAAACTCTCAACTTTATTTCCAATGTAGTTCATAGGCCTTCTCATTGTGTGCCCATGCCACCTAAGTCTTTTTACCATTATCTAAGTCTTAATGGGCACTACCTTTAAACTTCTTAGTATTATTGTATTGCGCAATTAATCCTTTCTTGTTACCCAGCAATCATCCTCAGCATTCTCATCTTCATAGTTTGTAGACTTCTCTCTTCTGATTCTTTAGTTGGCCATGTTTCCGAACTGTATAGAATAGTTGGTTGTACTATGGAACTGTAAATTTTTCCCTTCAATTTGTGTGGGATTCTTTTGTCAAAGAGCCCTCCAGATAAAGATCTCCACTTTAACCACCCTTGATTAATTTTACTCTTTATCTCTTTCTCTATTGTGCCAAATATTTGCAGCTTTCAATTGCCGATATCTGCCATTCATTTATATTAATGCTCTCTGTTTCATCTCCTCCTATCACCATATACTCCGTCTTTTCTCTATTTACTTTTAGTCCGTGTTTTATATGATATTTATACAGCTCATTAATCTTTCTTTCATTTCATCTTTGGATTCGGTAAGTATCACAATATCATCTGCAAATATCATATTCCACAGGACTGTTTGTGGTATAGACTGTGCTAATACTCTATTACTGTTATGAAGAGAGGGCTGAGAGCTGACCCTTGATAAACTCCCTCGGCTATTGTGAATGTTGAAGTACCAGTTGTGCTACGGACCATTGTTGTATGGCCCATATACATATCCTGTATTATTCTTATATATTTTTGGAACCTTTTTGTAGCGTAGCACCCACCAGATAAGTTTTCTTGGGATTCTATCGAAGGCCTTTTCTAGATCGAGGAAGACCATGTGAAACTTTTTGTTCTTTTCCCTGTATTATTTACTCATTGGCCTAAATGGATAGCATCAGTTGTTGATCTTCTAGGCATAAAGCCAAACTGAGTCTGTCCTATTTGGATTATGTCTCTTGACCTTTTTTCTATTATTTTTTCATAGAGTTTAAGACAGTGATTTTGACAATTGTGTGGATCCCCTTTATTTTTGAAGATACTAGATAGCTCTGCCTCCATTTTTGAGGGATCTCTTCATTTCCCAGTAATTTATTGTACAGATTTGTGAGGAAATGTATTCCATCATCTTTTCTATTGGAATATCGTTTTTCATATGCTTGAGGCATATGATTATTTTTTGTTCTGTTATTGGTTGTACAAGGTGTTGTAATACGTAAATTTACTTTGAAATAAAATCGATAAAAAAGAAGTAATATTCAATCGACTGTTAAACAGAAAAACGAAACATTATATTATTTGACTAAAGACGATGTAAATGAATAAATTGTATATAATAATCGTGGATTTTTTACTTGATAATTATTATTATTTTGCGAACTTAATTTTTATTTTAATTTTTTTATTTTAGTTATGATTATGTAATTACAATATATATTAATTAATTAAGTATTAGTAGTTAATTTATTTTTACTATTTATGTATTCTCCTTAATTCTCAACACAACATTTGTTACCGAAACATTATGTTTTATGGGCATATTCAGTCTAATTAACTTTTCTCATCTGACACAAGGTTTTGACATGGGGAGTGTTCATCTAGATGTAATATAGTTGAGAAGCTCCTAATATTCATTATTTCTTTGGATTTACTTAGCTTGTGTTGCGCGGCAATATCTTCTCCTGGGATGACTTTGCAGTCTACTACATCTTTTAATCTTCTGCGAGAGATTAGCATGTGATCAATCTGTGTTTTCCTTGTACCACTTTCATATGTTATTAAATGACTGTCGTTTTTCCTATAGTAGGTGTTGGTTAAGGCAAGGTCGAAGGCTTGCGCAAATTTTAGTACATGCTCCTTCATCATTTTTTTCTTCATATCCAAAATCACCATGATGCCTTTTGTAGCTATCTCTTGCTTTTTCCACATGCGCATTTAAGTCACCACCTTTTATGAGTCATATTTGTTTTCTTTCATTTTTGTTTATTGGACAGGCAGCCTGTCGGTGACCGGGGTGTCATCCCTAAGCTCCGAAATTTATCTTACCATATGTCTTTACACATTAGTCATCGAAGAAAAACCTTTATGCTCCTTACCAGGATTGAACCTGGGACCTTCTGTTTCCAAGACTACATCATAACCCACTAGGCCACCCCGGTTTACATTATGATCTGCAAACTCTGAACTAGTATTCGAATTCTCTCATTTTTATGTATTATGCTTATACATTATATACATATGTTTCAAAAAAATAAAAATGATAAAAGTACAAATATAAGACATTTTGTTAATGTCAAAATAAATATTCTAACACGAGTAATTTATTATAGAACTTTATGGATGTATACATAATTTTTATTATAATATCACATAGTCTTAAATATTTGCCATTGCGGATTAATAAAATATTTTGAGTATAGCATTATAAAAGTAGTTTAAGAATGTAAGAGATTTGAATAATTGAAGCAAAATATTTATTATTTCCTCTCAGTAACAAGGGAAATCTTAAATTACAGCCTAAACATGAATACTTTTATTATATAGGTCTTCAAAAATATCGCAAGGCAAAAGAATCCTTACCAACTTATTCATTAACAAAAGTCAACCATAAATATAATTCTAACTACTTTAAACAATCAATGATAAAAGGGATCATTAAGAAAAAATTTGTAGCTCTAACCAAATAAACAATTCTTGAAAATGAATATATAATAGACTAATTCGAACTATATGGTAAATTAGAGCTAGGACATGATGAAAGAATCTGATCCATTTTTAATGGTATATAAACCACTAGGTAATGTACATTGTTGTTCACCCAAATCACAAAATCAAATGATCTCAGAAGCAGGGAGAACAATCTTAAAGCCAATAGTTTCATAATTAATTGAAGTAGGCTATTTGCTGTCATGGCTGATGACATTCTTTACGTAAACTCACATGAGCAATTTAGTGTGTATGTTAAATAAATTGATAAAACAAAAACACAAATAGAATCCTTTATATTCTTTAAAAAACGTTAATGGTCATTGACAAATACCCAAATAAACATTCTAAATAACAATTCTATAAATGCTATTTGTATTGCTCAAGCATATGATAGGGCAAATATTTTAAAAGGGCATCTTTTAGGAATATAGGAAAAATAGGCCAAAAACTCATCATTATGCGCACTGACATACATATGAATTTAAGCCTTGGTCTCTGCCTGCAAATCAGTACCAAATTTTTAAAAAATATTATATAAGGCTTTGCTATCTTATAAATTCTATTATCCATTATAAGAAATGCATTAATATGCAATTAAATTAGGGTTAAAATGTAAAAATATTAGTATCTTTTCTACAAGGTAGGGATCCCATAATGAAACTAGAATGGCGGTAAAAATAACCTTCCCTGCAATCATTTTATCTGGAAAAT